GTTAGTAGGGAATACGGTAATATATTATGTAGGGGCTGCATGGGCAGTATAGTCCCTTATTCCCTACTAACCACCAGCAAGTTCAGGATTGAGGGAGCTGCTTTGGGTACAGGGAGCAGCTGCTGTGATGGTTCCATGAGGATTCGGCAAAGTTGTAGGTTAAGGTTTAGGGTGTAGGGTTTAGGGGGCTAGGTGCGGAGTTCTAGGGATTAGATTCAAGGGTTAGGATTAGTACCCAGACCCCTGGGAGGATCTAAAAAAGAGATCCCCTATATAGACCCATTATAACCCCTATATACTCCTTATATAATTTTCCATATGGTTCGAGGGGATCTAATTTTTAGATCCTTTTGGGGGTCTGGGTAGGGACATGGGTTTGAAGGCTTAAGGGCGAAACATGTCAAGGGATAATGGTCACAGAGCAATAGAGACGTTATCTCATGTTTGTTCAGCTTGCTTCGTGAGTCTTCTGCCACGCTCCTTTGAGGGCCCTTGGAGGTTGAAGGTACTTCTCACCCGCAACTTAGACAGCCAGCTTTACGCAAATTCCGTCTCAGCTCCCTATCTGGGCAGTTCCCAAAATTAGGGCCCCATTTTGATACCCGAGTATTAGGTGCTGTAATATAATCCACAACCACCCATATGGGTTGTTCTCGAAACTCGGAAAAAAAGGGCCCTTTTGGTTATAGACTATATTGTGGCACCTAATAATATGTAGGGGTACTAAAACGGGACCCTAAAAAGGAAACTGCCAATATGTTGATTAGCTATGGTTACTTATCTCTCTTAACCCTAGACCCTAGTGTGTGGCCGCCAGGATGACTGCACTGAGCCAGAAAATTGCTCACGTAGAGAACACGAAGCAACTTAAGACTCAGCCAACCTCGCCGCAAAAAGTAGCCGCCGCCTGAGTTACGTGCTGGGTTTTAGTAGTGAATGAAGGAACAGCGACCCATCCCTTCATTCCCTATGAGTGAAGCGCAAGGTTATGGACGCTTCGGGGCTTAAGGCTAAGGGTCCAAGGACCCAATAATCATATATTTACCCAAAACCTGTACCTCAATCTCTATTGCCAAAATCCAAAGTACCTACTGATTTGGGTACTTGGACCCTTAGGTTATGGTTTGGGGCTAAGCCTCTACGTGACATCAAGGCAAACTGACATCTTGAGCAAGGACCAGGGGAACACAAAGGGGTTTCCGAAAATTAGGGGTACCGTTTTGGGGGCCCCCATCATGAGGATTATAGTATTTGGGGGGTCTTTATTGGGGTCCCCTTACTTAGGGAAACTACCGCAACTAGTCAAAAACGACCACTTCCCCATTTGAGGGTTTAGGGTTCCATCCGCATGGAAACCCGAGAGACCAATCAGACTATAGGTACCCGAGCCCCCCAATTTTAATTCCCAGCAGCGTAAACCTTGAAGCTTAAGCCGTCAAATCTTAACTTATAAAGTTTACGTCTACGCCTGCAACCCAGGCCTCCATGCAGTAAAACCTGAATCCAATACTCTCCACCTACAACCTTCTCGCCTATGTCATGGTAGAGGCTCCAAAGGAGCGTGCCGTGCTTCTTCGTCGCTTCCGTAGCGCGAAGGCCCGCCACAGTACGTGTAGTACGGCCATGGAGGGATACAGGGGGGATTCGTACGGTTCAATAGGGGTTTTTGAATTCAAAGAGCTTGCATACTCTGGTAATCTTACAACGCCTAGCCATCTGTGGGATTGCACACGGATGAAAGCGTCCCGTTCAAGCATTTCGAGATGCTCCCATACTAAGAGAGGATGTTGACATGGACACGGGGTCTCTGGGATAATTGTGCTAAATGGCAATCACTTGTGCTTCATCACAAACAGTACACATTGAGCCCTGCATCCCACCCCCGCTATGTAAGAGATGTTGGCCATAGCTCATGCGCCAGCTATTGCCTAACTTTAAAGGGTCCTATGCGGCTTCATAGGTCCTGGAACACCGTTAACACCGTTGAAGCCGTAGTAGCAGAATCGCCCCACCTCCCACATAAGAAACCTTTTCGGTAGAGTACCATTACATACTTGTGGAGGGAAGATCAATGAATTATCATGAAATGCCCTAAACCCCAATATACCATTGTATATCAGGGGGGAGATTCACTATGGGGGGATACCGTAATCGGCTCACGCACGCAGCTGCCCCAAAAAGCCTGGCCGATGGCTGCGATTTGTTGCAGTTTGCTGACGAACTGTCCCCATCAGTGTGGAGGGTTCTGGAGCTTTCTGGAGCAAGTCATGCTCTAAATGCTTGAGGATGATTTGCAACTTGGAGATGGCTGAGCCAAATCCTGTGACTCTCGTGTCTCCTACGCAGCGGGTCCGCGGCCCGGTGCACTGTACGTTGCGGCTTTGGAACCAGATGCGCCCAGATGTACGCACAGGCAGATGAGGATGGCCCAAGACACCTAAATGAAAGTCCAAAGGTTATTCTGCATACTTTTGGGGTCCATGTAACAGTTACGTAGGGACTAGGCTTCTGGTAGAAGCGAGGGAAATTGCAGGTCATAGATCCTGGAGGCAGGGTGTAGTAGTTTTCCGAAGCAGTGCTGAAGGATATTGGTTTATGATGCTGAAAATGGTGTTAGCAATCAGGTTTTGGAATGAGAATAAGGTTGACCTTCTCCCTAAGAGCAAGGCTCTTTGACCCCACAGTGGAAGCCCAAATCTAAGCTCTCAAATCCTCCCCAAACCTTTATCCCTGAACCCTAAACCCTAAGCCCTAGACCCTTAACCCTGAACCTTTAAACCCTAAACCCTAATCCCAAACCTTCGCCTAGAAAGCCCAGGACAACCCTAAGGGCCTCCTAAAGCCTAAACTCTACGATCTGAGAGTAGGCATTCCTACCCAGAGGGTCCAAGTACCCAAAAATTGGGTACTTGGGTTTTGGGTAGTAGGAATTATAGTACAGGTTTGGGGTAAGTATATGATTATTAGGTACTTGGACTCTGAGGGCTATATCTTACGGCTTTAGGGCTTCGGGTTTAGGGTTTAGGGCTCATAATAGGGTTTAGGGCTTAAGGCTTGTTAGGGTTTAGGGCTTAGGGTTCCGGTTTAGGGCTTAGGGTTAAGGTTTTAGTGGAGGGTTTCCTAAGCCCTACATGCCCGAAGCATTTCAGGGGGATTGTTCTGGGGGGCAAATATCAATTGCGTGGTACATAGGGTTATGTAGGGCTGTATTGGCTTTTTTGTACCCAATAAAATGGGATGCCTTCAGGGAAGTCCCTATAATCAGGATTCTAGTATTTGGGCACGAGGAGAATCGATGCATCCTGGATAGACAGATATTCCTGGTGGCTCAGGGCAGTTCGAAGGTAGTTGTACTGGGACTGGAAACCCCGACCCGTAGCCCATGCAGCCCTTGGAAATGGAGGTTAAGTGTCTCGTGTGCTCCGACATTGTGGCTCGCGGTATCGACATTCCAGCTGTCAGCGCAGCTTTGCTGGAACTGGACTTGCTTCCCCCTTCAGCCTACACCCTCAATAGTAGTTTCCATTTGCTTTTCCATTATCCCCATATATAACCCCAATATATACCCTATTCTAATGTAGTTGTTTCCATGTTTTTTCCATCATCCCAAATATGTCTGAAATTTCAGGTCTTCCTTGAGTGTCGGGTTCCAAGTGTATGGCTGTATGGAACTGTTGAGAACGGCATCTGAATTTGAATGCAAGAAAGGGGCCATGATAGGGCGAACAATGCGAACTGCGCCCAAGCCCCAAAGCAGTCGGATAAATGAACCACTGGGCTACTATAGGAGCCTAATTCCATATTCCTTGTTTAGTTCTGGTCTATGGTACCTCAAATGGACCTCAAAATGATATTGGTAATTATTTAGGCCCCTGTAGTAACCCTAAACCCTAAACCCTAAACCCTAAACTTAGTTAGGCCTCAAACCTCCCTAACGTGATTGTCACATTGTGGGCTTCAAGCACAAGTAGGCCACAACTAGCCACAATGTCTTTGGCCCAAATGAGCCCCCCTCCCCCTTTGTCCTACTGAAGCCGGGAAACCCTAAACTCGTTAACCCAAACTCATACACCCTGGACCGCGACACCCTCATAACCCCAAACCCCAAACCCTGAATCCCTAGACCTCCAAACCTCCAAAACCCTACAACCCTGAAACCCCCAAACCCTGAACCTCAGTCAGGCCAACCTGGCACCTAGAAGGCTTGCCCCTGACCCCTGTTCTGTACTGTCCTTAGGAATTATAGCATAACCCTAAGGAAATATAAGCAATATTGTCATTATTATAGGTCTAAGGAGAGTACAGTGTTAAGGTGTAGAGTTTAGGGTTTAGAATTCGGGGTTTAGGCTTTGGGGTTCAGGGCTTAGGGTTTAGAATTTGGAGTTTGGGGTTTCGGGTTCGGGGCTTAGGGTTTAGAATTGGAGTTTAGGGTTTGGGGTTCAGGGCTTAGGGTTTAGAATTTGGGGTTTAGGATTTCGGGTTCAGGGCTTAGGGTCTTCGGTTCAGGGTTTAGGGTTTTGGGAGGATCCAGAAAGTAGAACCCCCTGAAAGGTTCGTGGAATACCATAACCAAACCCTCAACCCTAAACGCTAGGGGCTGCCTTTTCTAGATCCTCCCAGGTGTCTGCGCTTGTTAAGCCCTAAATATCTTTGAAGGTCCCTCCTGAAGTGGGAACCTGTGGGGGGTAGCATAGGGCTTGGGTAGTAAGGGACTCCATAAGTATGAGGGCTTCCAGACGAGAGAAGGGATCATGACATGTTCTGCCTAACTACATCACTGGATCGCTCAGTCGTTGCAATTTGCGTGCCCAAAGATTTGGTAGCTTCCATCAACAGAGTGAGCAGAAGATAGACCTCTAAATATCATGACCCTTCCGATTTGGAACTCCCCAAAAAGGACAGCGATCTTGAGAAAACCCTCATTTCAGGCCGTGATAAACTACACAGCGCCCTCACATCTGCAAACGCCACTGGCCTGAATGGTGGGATGTACTGCGCCTGCATACATATATATATATATATCTGTACATATATATACACATACATATACAGTGTGCATCCTGTTTCTTACAGGTCCCCCAAGAGCAAGATCCACGTTAGAGTGAAGGCTCCCTCTCTACCTTTAGGCCCTAAACCCTAAACCTGAAACGCGAAGCCCAAACCCTAAGACGTAAACCCTAAGCCCTAAATGTTAAGCCCGAAACCTTACACCCTATTCGCTAAGTCTTGCCTGCACTCCGGCGCATAAATGACCTCGCCCCCGAAAAAGGGGCCTTAGATCGTTCAAAATGGCTTTGCTTCAGGATTCCAAGTTATACCGGTTAATAGTTAGCATAAGATGTAGCTTAATAACGGGAATTCGAAAATCTACAGAATACATTATAGAGTAGTTGTAGTGTAGTAGCCCAACTTCAGCAAAGTTACAGACCCATGTGGAAGGTAAAGCCACGCATATGGGGATTGGTCTAAATTCCCTTTCATACGGGGTCCTATATTTGGGTTCCCATTATAACACGGGGCCCTATATAAATTTCCCCCATTGTGGGAACAGTAATTTAGGGAAACTACCATTTGAACACGTCGCTTAAGGTGGATATCTTCCAGACTAAGAGTTCCTAGGCCCTAAACCGATTGGGTTTAGGGATTTAGGGGTTTAAGGGATTTAGGG